GTGACCCCTCTTAGCCTTGTTTCTCTTTATGACCCATGGCTTCTAGGATGTGTAAGAGAAATTGAAAATGCTTTTGGTTTCCTGGGTCAGAAAGAACCCAGTGCAGGGCTGAACTTATGCTCTTCTCCACGTTCTAGTGAAGAAAGAAAGGAAGAAAGAAAGAAAGAAAGAAAGAAAGAAAGAAAGAAAGAAAGAGAGAGAAAGAAAGAGGAAGGAAGAGAGAGGAAGGAAGGAAGGAAGGAAGGAAGGAAGGAAGGAAGGAAGGGAAGGAAGGAAAGGAGGGCAGGAAGGAAGGAGGGAAGGAAGGAAGGAAGGAAGGAAAGAAGGAAGGAAGGAAGAAAGGAAAAAACCACCACCACTACCAACAACAAATCCTTGGTATCTAGAATAAATTTTCAAATATAGAATACCAATATGTTGCTGGGGTTTTGTGAGTTTATATCTCATTGTCTTTCTCCCACACCCCTTCAGCCTAGGTTTGGACTGGGTTTTGTTTTGTTTTGGTTCTTTACCATGAGGAATAGAGCTAGTAGAGAGAAACAGCCAGTGGAACTGGATGGCCTGGGGGTGGGCTTGGATTCCAGCTGGCCAGGCTGTGTAGACTTTAACATAGGGAGGGAAAGGGTAGAGCATGCTTTCTAAAAAGGATGGCAGGAAATCCAGGTGTCGGGGGGTGGGGGTGGGGGGGGTGGGGGAAGGACTGGGCAGTGTCCTTGGCAAGAGCAGTTCACCTCAGGCTGGAACAGTGGGTCTGTGTCTTCAGGTCACCATCTTCTGAGCCACCTTTGCAAACCACCCCTTTGAGAGCTGAACTGGGGATGGGGCTATGAGGAGAGGAGTCAGAGAAGAGGTCAGCAGATCAAAGGGTGGTGATAAAGGAGTTGATGGTACCTTTGGCCCTCAGGCTCTGCAGGGGCTGTGATGAGTGGGGAGAACTCATCCTACTTCCCTTCTCCTGATCTCACCTTCCCATGACCCCAGGCTCTCCACTGGAATCTCTGTGTCCCCAGGCTGGGGGTTATGTCCCCAGAGAAAGCATAAGCTCTGATGTCAGCCAGGATTGAAGGAGGTTGGTCTGTCTCATTCCAGGTCCAGCACTCACCGGCTCTGCTTGCTCTCTGTCCTGCTGAGCTACTTATACAGCCTGGGAAAATACCTGCACCTTTACCACCACCACCACCATGGGCTTGTGTCCTGGCTCTCAGGCCACACCACATCCTCCAACTTCATTTTCCTGAAGGGATGCCTTAAAATGTTGATATGAAATTAACTTCATTCTCATGGAGTCTCAAGAGGGCCTTTCTCCACGAGGCTGGGACAGGGAGTTGCCTGTTGCGGTTCTGGAAATCGCCAGCCAGGTATGTAGAGGGAGGTACAAGGAAAACTGCCTTCTACCCAGTCTTCCAGCCAAGCCTCCAGGCTTTTAGCCCTTTTGTCAATGGCTGTCTACATTCCACAGGAATGGAAGCAAATGAATAAGTGGCTGGTAAATGCTGGCCTCACCTCTGTGAGCACATGGACACATGTAGGTTTGTCCTGAGCTCTTGTATAAAGTCCAGCTGTAAAAGATGTAAATTATAACATCGTTTTAAAGGTTTTATTTTTATGTTGTAATTATGCGTATGTTTGCATTTATTTGTGTGTATGCATATGTGAGGGCAGGTACCCAAAGAGGCCATAAGAGACAGCCCAATTTCCTGGAGCTGGAGTTGCAGGTGGTTGTGAGGATGAGAAAATGCTGGGAACCCAAATTTGGGTCCTCTACAAGAGCAGTGCTCACACTAACGGTCTAAACTGCAGAACCATCATCTCACACACACTCCCAACATCTCATTCCATTGTGGTTGTTTGTATAAACAACACTTCTCTCTCAGTAACGAGAGAAGGCTCAATTGCAGACTACCGTCAGTTAACTTAATGCAAGACTCAAAAAAAAGAGATCCTAGGCTGTCTACCCTGGATGACCTAACCCTGAGAGAGAAAATGACTGGGAGTCAGCTGATTGAAGGCACACCAGGCCTTTAATCCCAGCCTCCTTTGGGTAGGAAAGTTCTTCCTCCCTGCTCTCCTCATTTGGCCCCTGGGGCTGCTGGAGAAGGGAGCTACCTGGAGACACAGGGCTGGGAACATTGCAGGGACCAGACCTTTGATCTCTCCTGGAGCCCCTGGTAAGCCCCCAGCACTGTCTTAGGCTGCCCCAAAGACAGCTGGGCTGGGTCAATAGACACTGGGAACAGGAAGAGACCCAGCATGCTCACTTCACACATTGTAAAACACACAAAGATCCCAGATCCAGATAACTCCCAGTCTCTCTCCACTCCCACCTCTCAGGATACAAAGGACTGGGCATCCCCGATGTGCATTAATTTATCTTCAAACAGAAGCAGAAGTTATGATCATATTCAAGCCCTTTGACTTTAGAGAGTCTCTTCGGCCCAACCCCCACTTTGCCAGACAAGTGATATCCATCAAGTCCAGCATGCAGCCTCCCCTTTACTTTACAGAAGGGGCTCTTCATAGAGCCCCTCTTGGCTTACAGGTGGTGGGGAGTAGTGGGGGTTAGGGACTGGTGAATTCTCAAACTCCAAACAAAGCAGGCAGGGTTTGAAAGGCATTTAGAGGCTTTGGGAGCACATCCCCCATACAACAAACAGGCAATTAATTCCTCTATTAGGATGATTTCACTTGAGGAAACCTGTGCCTAAGCTCAGTAGATCTAACACGGCAACATCAACAGAAACAAAGCCCTGGTTGTAGTTCAGAGAGGATGCAGGTCCACTGAGGCCCACCTCAGAGAAAATCTTATCTGCAGTCATTCTCTTCTTCTTCCTCAGCCTTTTTTTTTTTTTTCTTAGTTTATTCTGAGACAGGGTATTTTTTTTTCTTGGTGCAGCTGTTGTCCTGGAACTGGCTCTGTAGATCAGGCTGGCCTCGAACTCACAGAGTTCCTCCTACCTCTGCCAGTTGAGTGCTGGGATTAAAGACTTGTGCCACCACCCCCCTTAGGCTCTCTTCCTTCTTGAATCCTTTTTTGGGGACCAATCAACCTACTCTCATCTGGGAAAGCCCCCAAGGGCCTTAAAGCCAAGCTCCTGTAAATGCAGTGAGGTCAAGATTGTGGTGGGTGGCTGAGTGGAGCAACGCAGCATTTTTACTTGTGTGAGTTGGGCTTCCTCCATAGGAGAAGTGGCAGGGAATCTCAGTTCTCCTTTTAATGCATCTTGTCCACAGAGTCAGGTGAGATGAAGAACTAGGACAAATACAGATGAGAAGCTTCATGGGCATCAGGTGGGACCTGTGTGGCCCCCAAAATCAGACCTGGTCTCAGTTTTTCTGAGCCTGTGCTCCAAAAGACAAAACCCTCCTTGATAAAAACCTCCTTGCAGCATCATAACAGAGATTTAGGAGGATAATTACAGAAAGCACACAGAGGACAGCAGGCATTCGCGGAACAGATGTGTTCCTTCAACCCACTGAGAGGCTGGGCTGCATTTCAGTCACTCCAGAGAGACAGCACCTAAAGACAACAGCCATGTAGATAAGATATTTTTTCAGACTAGCAGTTGGCCTTTACAAAGCTGTGTAGCGTTTACTCCAAGTTGCCCCTGCTCTGTCCCTGGCTTTCCAGCCACGACTGTGCATTCAGAACTACCCTGTCACTGGAAAAAAAAAAAAAAAAAGTCCCGCTCATCCCAGCAGGATTACGGTGTTAAGTCTTTCCCGAATAAAACCTCTTGAGGAGAAAAGCATAGTCCTTATACTAATCTTCCCTCCCACCCCAAGAAAAAAACCCAAAAAAACAAAACAAACAAACAAAAAAAAAAAACTCACTTGAAACAGCCTTGCCTGCTACTTTTAAGTTCCCCATTTCCGATCTTTTATTAGCCTCTCGCCTGCTTAGGAAGCCACTGAACTCCCTCCCACTGCCTCCCTGTTTGGGGAAGATGCCTGAGGATGTAGCTGGCGAGAAAGCCCTGTTAGTGGCCGCTTGGTCTTTAACCTACTTATTGATTGGTTACACTTGAAAAAAAAATCTCTGGAAACGCTTTTACTGTAAATATTTGATGTGTGTGCAGGAGGAGGTCTGGATTCACACTCTAACACCTTGCTCAGTCGGAAACCCGCTCTTGATTTTCCTGAATGTGGCCGGCAGGAGGAGGCGAGAGCCTGACTGTGGCTCCCTTAGCCTTGGGGTTGGCGCAGGCCGAGGATGCAGACTACCCCAAGGGCTTTTTCCCGGGACACGTATGCAGGCAAGTCTCTGTCAAGAGAACTTTTTCGTCACCTAGGTCCGACTGCTCGCTAGCTCTCTACCCTGACCGAAGTGGGGGCTCCTGACAAAGATTTGTGTCAAACTTTCACTAATACCATATTTATACCAACCGGAATCCTGCAAACAAACATTTGTTGCTCAGGAGACTTTAGGAGAAGGGCTGGTAAGAAGGTTTGACCTGCAGAGAGAGCATTGGCGACCACCTTGAGACCGAGGAACGCCAGAGATTCTGGGAAAACCAACGGTCTTCAGTGTGCTATGCTCAAGGTCTGGGTTTGGGACCCCAGTGGGCATCCTGGGTGAGGAATCACCTTGTTCCCTAGGGCCGAACAGTCCACAACTCCGGCAAGGGCGCACGAGTCTCCTGAGGAGAATTAGCCGTCCTCTGGCGGAACAAAGTGTCATAGACACTCAGGGACACTCCCTGGGTTCCAGGGTTACCAGCGCCCGCCACCGCTTCAACACCAACCGAGGGTCGAGCTTGTGATCAGCTCCCAAACTACCCCAACCTGCCTCCTCTCGGCTTCCGCCGCAGCTCACCCTCCGCTGCTTAGGACCTGGGGGCGCAGGGGCGGGGCGGCAGGCTCACTGGACGGTGACAGGTGCGCCCCTCGGCCAATCGCCGGGCAGACACCCCTCCTCGGGGCCCCGCCGAGCGCGCCAATCCCGGGCTGCGCTGAGCTTCAAGTGTGCGGAGGGGCGCGGGTCCCCAGCGAGGCGCCGGCGGCCTCAGTGCGGTCGCTAGCGCGCTGGCGGAGCGGAGAGCCGGCCTCCCCAGCCCGTGCTCGCGGGAGCGCTCGCCTAGGAGTTCACACCAGCGAGCGGAGCGCGGTCCCCACACGGACTGCTAGGAGGAGGCGTCCGGACCATGGTCGCTCGCCACTGAGTTTCCGGCCGCGACTCTGATTATTGGCAAATAATCGCAATAACAATACCGCGAGCCCCGGGGCTGGCCACCGCCACGCTCGGTCTCTGCCAGCCCGTTCGCGACCGCGTCGCCCACCCTTGGCCCTGACCGTCAGCTCCAAGCGAGCCCATGGAAAAATCCAAAAATTTCCGCATCGACGCCTTGCTGGCGGTGGATCCCCCGCGAGCCGCCTCCACGCAGAGCGCGCCTCTGGCCTTGGTCACTTCGCTCGCTGCCACGGCATCCGGCCCCGGGCGAGGCGGCGGCGGCGGCGGCGGGGGGACCAGTAGCGGGGCGAGCCGCAGCTGCAGCCCCGCGTCTTCCGAGGCCCCCGCGGCCCCCGGCGACCGCCTGCGGGCTGAGAGCCCGTCGCCCCCGCGCTTGCTGGCTGCGCACTGCGCGCTGCTGCCCAAGCCGGGATTCCTGGGCGCCGGAGGAGGCGGCGGCGCGGCGGGTGGCCCGGGCACTCCCCACC